TAATAATAATAATAATAATAATAATAATAATAATAATAATAATAATATATAATAATAGTGCATACTGTGGTTTATTAGTACCATTTCTTATTTACAACTGTAATCAAAAGAAATATACAATGATATTAGGGATTTATTTTATCAATCATCATCGGTCATAAATTAAATAAAATACTTTCGGTGAAATACACATTGGAATATTTAAGTTATTTATTTTACATATAAAGAATACAAGTATGCACAAACATAACAGACCTTATCAAAACAACCTTAGGTTTTATTGTAATGCATTTCATTGTTATTATATTATATAATACATTGACATAAACTTCTATGATGTATACTTTATACATAATACGATATCAACAGATAAATATTTCATAATTTTAAAATATTCAAACGAAAAACGAAGGCATATTTATTTATTTTTTTTTTTTTTAAATCAAATAACAAATAAATCGAATTTGGTGATTTAATCAGATCTTTTCCAACAATCGGAAACGATTTCAAACGTTATACATTTTTTCAAATAATAAATAGAACAAAGTACATTTGCATTTAAAAAGGTTACTATGTAATTGTTGAAAAAATGATTCGTTTTCCAAGAATACGATAAGTCAATGATGACGTAACAGACTTCATTGTTGCAAAATTTGTCACTGTCCGGCATTATTATTTCGCTCTAAATGGTACAAGGTGTCATATTATTAAAACGGATTACTTACGGAAATTGCGATATAAGATGACCAAGTCAAAAATAACAATAACGTCAGTAAGGAACACAAAACAAAATAATTCTTATATTTAATATCATTAAACATGAATAGTACAATACATTTATTGCATATAATATTTTTTTTTACTATTTATATAATTAAAAAAAAACTCACAATTGTGACCAATCTACTTATTCTTATTGTTCATTCGTGTATATTTAACTTAATGCTGTGCAACATATTTTCTATTATATCCACAATATACTTTCCTCTAAGTCAAAACAATTAAATTAATTTAAATAATTTTACTAACAGTCATATCGTTATAGGATATTTCAAAATGTACAGTTCAGAAATAATATCGTTACATGTATAAATCTGTATAATGAAACGCGTGCAAGAATTTTTATATTATTTTGGATTTCAAAGCAAATAGTACGGAGTATGTTTACATAATAAATAAAATAAATACAGTGAAACCTGTATATAACGGACAGTCACGGGACCAAAATAATTGTCCGTTGTAGACAGGTTTCAATGTTTTAAAAATTACAATTTTTACGTACATTTGTATTGTTTTATATTTTATAATATGTATTAGGTGTAATCTTTTTTAATATCTATTATAATTATTATTATTTTAATTATTTATTATATGTACAATTATGTATATATTTGTATAACTTTATTAATTATTTCTTAAAAAATGATTCAATTGATGTTTGTTTTTTGAACTTCGATTTGGTCATTTCCAACTCGTGATGGATAATTAATTCACTCACATATGAAAATCCCTTTTCATCACCTTTATTTAAATAAAATTCTTTCAGACGAATAAGTTGTTTAAGAGCTTCTGAATAATTTGCAAACGTCTTAATTTCAGAATATTCTAGTTGGTCATCAGCTTTTTGCTCATCATCGGATTCCACGGGATTTAATTCAGTTCGAATGTCATCTAAAATTATAGCAATATCATCTAAGCTACATTCTGTAGACAAATTACTGTCTATTGTGTCAAATCGTCGTTTCTAGGCAACGGAAGAAGCGCCATTAATTCAATTAACTCATTCCCATTTACTTCATTTTCGATTTCTGGAGGTTCACTCGACGGAAAATCTGTTTTTTTGAAACAATATGTGATTGTTAATGAAGAAATTTGTGTCCACGCTTTTTTCACCCATGTAATCGCTTTTGAAACATCAATTTGCTTTGTCAGGTCGTGTGCATTTTGAGCGTCCTCCAGATTCGCAATAACGTGTTGTAGTGCGAACTTACGGTAAAAAACTTTGAAATTTTTTATTATTCTTTGGTCTAAAGGTTGAGAAGTTGATGTTATATTTGGAGGAAAAAAAATAAGTGTTACGTTGTCCAAAGACAGATGTGCATGTGATGTAGCATTGTCAAGAAACAATAAAATTTTTCTGTTTTGAGTTTTCATTTGCTGATCGAGTCGTTGAAGCCAGTCTGTCATTATATGAGTAGTCATCCATGCTTTACTATTCGCCTTCCATTCTACTGCCAGTTTACTAACATAAATTCCTCTAAAACACCTTGGTTTGACAGTTTTTTCAATGACGAGTTGTTTAAGTTTTTCTCCGGACATACTGACACATAGAAGAACAGTTAAACGTTCCTTAGCTATTTTTCCACCAGAGCATGATTTCCCTTTGTAAGAAAACGTTTTGTCTGGTAATGCTCGGTAAAACAGACCAGTTTCATCAGCATTGAATATGTTTTATGGCTCATACCTTATCACTATTTCCGAAATTTTCGATTTTCATTCATAACAATTGTTAGATTTGTAGAAGCTGATTCTCCGCAAATCGATTAAAAAACTTACCTTGAAGCTCTCTAACCAGCCATTGGAAGCTTTGAAATCATCACACTCGATTTCATGGGCAACTTCTAAAGCTTTTGCTTGAATGATTGGTCCAGATACAGGCACATTTTTATTTCTTACATGGTTAAACCACCCTAAAACAATTTTATCAATAAATTCACCTGGCCCGTTCCTCTGGAATCGGCGAGATTTTTCGTTTATGGAATTTTCGTTGTATCGACGTAAAATATTTTCTTTATTCTTTAAAACTTCGGCCACTTGCGTTTTACCAATGCCAAATTTGTCGACAAGTTTACGAATAGACCAACCTCCGTTAGAGTCTTTAAAACGAATAATATCCACCTTTTGTTTTAAATTTAAAGCTTTACGCGGCACGGGAGGTGGCATTGCTAAGGAAAAAATGACTGCAACTCTGACTGCGAACCGATAGAAACTGAATAAAAACGTTTGATACTCATGGTTATCATTTATACGTATTGCAATTTATATCTGGATATCTTGGACTTTATAAATTCAATAGGTACTCGCAATTAGCGTTATCGTAATCGGCGATAATGTAATTGGTCGTGTTTTCACTGAATGACCTGATTGCGTTCCTTATCGACGCTGTTTCAATAACGCCAACACGTCCTTTTGTCGAGCCGGAAAACGTTTTATCGATATAATATATAGATAACCACATGTCGTGCATTACCTCAACTGTGTGTGTGTATGTATGTATGTATTTTTGTCCGTTATGAAATTGTGGGATTAAATATTAGTGTCCGTGTCCGTAATAGAAGGAGTCCGTTATAGACAGGTCAAAATACATTAGAATGCCTATCTCTTTGCCGGGACCTGGTCATTTTGTCCGTTAAGAGAGGTGTCCGTTATATACAGGTGTCCGTTAAGTCAGGTTTCACTGTACGTGTAAAATGTATGCGAAAAATAATTGAAGTATATTTGAATATACATATACATATACATATACCATCGTTATTACTGAACCCCAATATTAAATACTAAAACATTAACGCGGTAATATTACATTTAATATTTATTCAAATTGTACTTACCTACTAACGTATAAGAGATTTTATTTTTAACAAAAATTCTGCTGCACATTTAGAGTATGAAATCTTATAGCTTCATATTATTACAAACAAAATAATCAATACTTAGATATGACTGAGAAATGTAAGAAATACACAGTTAATTAACATATTTTTAGGTGAAAATTATTTTTACCACTTTAGAACCAATGTTTTTATCACAGTTCTACGTCATGATCGTTTTAAATAATATAATAATGAAAATTTTTAAAGTAATCAAAATCATTAATCTTTTTCCTTTTTTCATCTTTAAAATTTGTTTTCTTTTTAAAAATTTTATAATTCACATGTTCACAAATAAAAAATGCATTAATAATAATATGTTCCCGGATACATTTAAATAAAATATAAAAATATTCCGAGTGCCTATTGTTAAAGTTATGCATTTTTTTTTTCCGAGAAAATAAATTTCACTAAAAATGTTGTTAAAAATTAAGAATATAATACATAATAATATCAAACAAAAATTAAATAATAATAAAAAAGGTTATCCACCAGAAATGTTCATGTTACGTACTCGTCATGCTCCGGTTACTTTAACTCGTCATATTTAGATAATAGTGTATAATTGTACTACATTTGGGCACAAAAACCATGGTCCAAGAAAAACGGTTTTAATACAGGAATTCAGACGAAATTGTCCAAAAATAATGAAGATTTATTAAAACGTATATCTGCACGATTTTTTTTACGTACTTATACTTTTTAATTTCTTTATAAGTTTTGTTAAATTTAAATCTATAAAATAAGTACTTAATGGTAGTATAATTAGAAAATTAAGTACTTACATAATGACACTTATAAGGATTTTTTCAATTCTAAAATATAAGTTTATATTTATTTAAGTCATATTATTTACGAACCGAACATTTTGAAACGTGATGAAAGAATTGATCAAGTTCTAGAAAAGTACCTATGTACTTTTTAAAATTAGTCGGTTATCTGTTCAAACTATTTGACAATAGAAAAATCAAATTTAAAAATATTCAAAATTGATGATGGATAAATGTATGCTGAAATGAATATAGGCACGTTTAACATTAATAACGTTATGTAAACTGTATATGAACGTACACCGGTGTTTGTGTTTAACCAACCCTGAGAAATATATTTGCATATTGAACTCTGTACAATAAATAATAAGTAATTGCCAAAACGATAACTCACTCGTATTCTAGATCTAGTCAAGAATAATTTATATGTCAATTATAATTTTAATTTAACTTATGAAAATAGAATCGGTTGTATTGGTGGTATATTACTTAATGTTTTGTGATAAAGATAAATGATCACAAAATAAATCTCACTCAGAGGACTGAAATGGGCAGGAAAGAAATTCATGCATGGAGGAAACAGGGATCAATTATAAGGACCGTAATCGAAAACAACCCAGCAGGAAAACGACCCTTAGGTATATCTCGCTTAAGATGGGAAGATTGTATTAATAAAGATATTGAAAGAATAGAAGCTGATTTGCAATGGAGGGAAGTAGCGGAGGATAGAAATAGATGGAGGAGTATATACTTGGAGGGCTAGTCTTAAGAGCCGCTACTGAAAAAAAAAAAAGTAACCTATATAATTATGAATTGAATAAGATCCCACCAACAGAAATCCACTCGTTTGATTCATAATAATTCGCAACGATCTCGGTAAAAGATTTGTCAGTGAAATAAAAGCTACGTTATTTTTTTTTTTTTTACTTTAAAATTATTATAATTCAATATATTTTTAGTTCATAATCTACTACCAAAGTATTGTTTGATACTTACATGCAAAACACATGAGATTAATAATAATGATTAAATAACGATTAAATTTAATTGTTTAACACCGGATTTTATTTAACAAGTTCGACAAAAATATTTTAGTCAGAAATAATAGTATAGAAATAATTATCAACCTGTCCAAACCGTTGATAAGTATAAAGTAAAGTATTTTGTTAAATTTTTTAACACCAATCGCATGTGATTATTATGCACATTTTCGGTGTTATCAATACGTTAGGTTAGATTAGGCCATCGTTTCTCAACTTTTTTAGTGTCGCGACCACCAAAATAGGTATAAAATATAGTCAATCACTTCGCGACCCCCCCTCCATCTAGGTTAGGTAAAAATTTAAACAATAAAAATATCCTATCAATAACCAAACGAAATATAACATTTTAAATACCAATTTATAAATACCATATCTAGTAACTTAAGCTTATCAAGTTTGAAAGTTATGTATCGGATCGTTAAGAGTTTCCATTAGTGGAGTAGTGCCCGTTTTATTGATGAGATATCTACATTTAATCGACTACTTATTATTGTTATTTTTAATATTATTTTTGTGTGTTATGAAACGATTAATTTATCGATGACAGTGGCGCGTCGTTCGTGTTATAAAACGCATGTGATATTGCGTTTATTAAGTTGATTTTTAGTGAGTCTTTTTAGTTTTGTGTAATTTGAATTAATGATTATGGATAAATATATAACAAAACGTAATGCTCCGTCTACTTCTGGTGAACCAGCGAAAAAAAAATTCAGGCCATATAACAATGAGTATTTAAAATATGGGTTTATTTCACATGATAATAAGCCACAATGTGTTGTTTACTTTCAAGTTCTATCTCAAGAAAGTATGAAACCTTCAAAATTAATTCGACATCTAGAAACAAATCACCCACTTTTAGTAAAAAAAACCAATTGATTGTTTTGAGCGTAAATCACTTTTTTTAAAAAATCAACAAACTTGTATTCTTAATTCAAGTCAGAATAACACCGCAACACTTGAAGCATCATATTTAGTAGCACTTAGGGTAGCTAGGGAATCAATGCCGCACACGATTGCTGAGAACCTCATTCTACCCGCTGCTATTGATATGGTCAATATTATGGTAGGTGCAGAAGAAGCAAACAAATTAAAAACTATTCCACTTTCAAAATGACACAATATCAAGACGAATTAATGAAATGTTAACCGATGTGCACAATCAAATAGTACAAAATCTAAAATCAAGTGAGTATTTTTCTATTGAGTTTGACGAATCAACAGACGTAACAAACGGCATAATATTTATGTTTTGTTCGCTACGAATGTGACGGGACAATTAAAGAAAATATGTTTTTTTGCAAATCAATACCAGGTCATGCTACTGGACAAAGTCTTTTTTAATTATTTATTAAAATAACAAAAAATAAAAATTTGGACTGGAACAAATGTATTTCAGTGTGTTCTGATGGCGCAAGAGCAATAACAGGGAAAAATAGTGGTTTAATAGTAAAATTAAAAGAATTAATGCCACATATTGAATGGACACATTCTTTTCTTCACAGGCATGCACTTGCCGCAAAAAAAATGCCAGATAATTTAAAAGATGTGTTATCTGAAGCTGTAAAAATAGTAAATTATAATAAAAGTCGACCGCTGCAGTGCAGATTGTTTTCCACACTATGTGAAGAAATGGGCTCCAAGCGCAAGTCACTGCTTTTCTATACCGAAGTTAGGTGGTTGTCACGAGGAAAAGTTTTAACGCGGATTTTTGAGTTGCGAAATGAATTAAAAATATTTTTTAAAGATCGAAATGACACATTTTTAACTTTTTTCCAAGACATTACTATTTTTGGCTTATTTAAGTGATATATTTTCACATTTGAATGATTTGAATATAAGTTTACAAGGCCATGAAA